ATAGGTTTGTTTTATATAATCAAACTTTTAATTTACAAAATTTGTTAATATATTATAGTTATAATTAAATTTCAAAATGTACTAGTTCTAGTACATCAAAATTTACAAAAAATACCTGATATAAAAAAATTTTTTTTTAATAATTTTATTATTAATATAAAAAAAATTATATTAAACAATTTTTGAATATTTATCAGATTTTTGCATATAAAAAAAATTAGACTTTTTAATTTTTTGGATTTTTTATGAGTTTTTAAAAACGTACTAGAACTAGTACAAAAATGTAAATCCAAACCATTAATAATGATTATTAATTAGATCATTATCAATATTACCAACTTATCGTAAAAATTTTTTTAGATGTCTTAGAATTTATGAAAAAAGCTATAATAATTTCAGTTTATAGAATTTAATTCCTGATAATGTCACCCAACACTCTGGAAACTACATTGCTATCATCGATCCTTCGGTCCGAAAACAGCAATGTAATTCCGAAGAATTCAGTTATTTACAGAACAATCCCGTAAAGGTTTCATGTAATGAACAAATTTTAATTTCTCCAAGAATTTTTTGATAATAATACGTATATACTTATGATTTATCCTTTTACGATTAAGATATAGTTTACCTCTCATAATTTTGAGTTTTGAACATATGTAATTTCTTACAGTAATATTAAATTATAGAAATACAGTCGCACCTAGGTTATATCACTCCTTTTATCCTCTAATTTATCCTCTAATTTTTTGGAGATATAACTAAGTGGGATATAAAACAATATGTAAATATATAAAAAAGAAATTTATTCTGCTCAAATATAGGATCATTAGTAAAAATCAAAAAAATTTGACATGTCGAATGTCACCATTCGACATGCTCGTTCGACTGTTGATTGATCAGCCCGAATGACTTTCGAATGGCTGTCGGATAGTGCAATTCGACGTGAGAATTTTTTGATTGTTACAAGTGGATATAACTAAGGTAGGATACGACCCAATGAGGGATATAACTCATAGAAAGGCTTTCATGTACAGTAATTGGCTATTTAAACCAATTTAATTATGCATTTTTTATACAGTTTAAAGTACTATTTTAAAAAAATAAAACTACAAAAAATAAATAAAAAAAAAAGTATATAGAAAATTTTATTAGGTTGTAGGACTCTAGAATTGAAAATAATCAAAATAATCAAAATCCCTTTAATTTTAGAGAAGTTAGCATGATGATAACCTATTTTTCAGAAGTCAATTTCTCTAAGATAAAAAGGAGTTTGATTATTTTTAATAGTGGAATCCTACGACCCTTTGAGGATCGATTTTTTTAAAAGGTACTTTAAACTGATAATTAAATTGATTTAAAAATCAAATCAAATAAGTCTTTCTGTGAGGATATAACCCAGGTACGATTGTGTTTAATAATTTACGTGACTCCACATGAAAGAGATCTGTTACATAATCCTGTAATCTAGAAATATAATTGACTCTAGTTACTACAGTTCTTTCCACGCCTCGATCGAAGCCTTACCATTATTCAGGTTTGGTTTTTTGTAGTATTAGTATTAGTCCGTGTGATCTTGACCCGATTTGTATTTGACCCGAAAGTCATTTCGCCTTTCACAAAAGACATAATTATAACTAGAAATGATCTGAAAAAGAATCGTGAAGAGAGTTGACAGACGCACATATCGATATATTGTGCACTCCAAATTTTCCTATTATTACATATTATGCTAAACTAATGAGTATGAATTACGGGTTTATATATATATATATATTAGCTAAAGCGATAAAGGATACAAGTTTAGGCATTTATATAGTTAGACATATCATCTCCATTCCTGGTATTTACAAATAGAAAAAAATCAGTATTTCCGATTTAATATCATTTTTAGCAACCAAACATGTAAATCCCTTGTTCTCGTATAACTTTTTTCTCAAATAAAAATTTTACCTGAAAGTTTTAAAGAAAAATTTATTATGAATATATTCAACTTTATCACGTTATTGATTTTCGTTCCTACTTGTCTTTCATTATTTCCATTACCGATTCTGATTATTAATAGGACACCCTATACAATGTATGTCATTATGTATCATTATGGCGGTGTACAATACGAAAAATTAGAACCTTGTGAAATGATGTACTATGATAATGGATATTTTTCAACGTTTACGGTTGCTGCTAAAATTGTCGCAGATGACTATACAAAGCCTACTATGAAACAAATAATAGATGAATATTTTTCTAATATGTTTAACTATGAATTATGTCATGCAGGTTTAGCCCGTAAAAAAGATATTATGGTGGGAGGTATTATTCACACAATGGAAATTTTAAAAAGTTTGCCAAATAATTATTTAGAATCAAGCATTGTAGAACAATTGGATCGTTCTTATTACCATATTATAACTATTTGGGGAGGTCTGAATGAGCCACTAGTCTTCTACTCTTGTCACGATAGACAATATTATCCTTCTAGTGCTCAAGAACGAGCACGGGCTCATGAAGATTATAATTATATATTAGAAACAGATGTTTGTAAAAAGTATAAAAGTTATTTACATGGGTGGAGTAAAAGGCATCCCAAGTTCGTTTATTGTGCTGCAAAAATGGTAAGAGAGGAAAATGAAAAACGAACCAAAAGGAATAGAAATGAGCTCTAAATTTTTCTATGCAAGATAGGCTAATTACATGTTCTCTAACACGGGAAATGTTATGCATAAATTTTTGTAAAGAGTGATATGCATTTAAAGTGTACTTAGAGACTTTTTATTTTTTATTCCTCAACTATCATAATTCCCTACGCGCTATTTGAAAACATATAACTATATCGACGCTTTTCTTTTACTGGTTAATTCTGTAATGTATAAATATGATTTAATTCAGTTACGTATTGTGTTGTTGTTCCATATAGAGTGCCAGTATCACTTCTGAGTATAGTTCAATCCATTTTTGTAACGTACCCTATAGTTACTTTGAAGTACTTGTAGTTTTTTTAAAGTATCCTAAACTCAGAGTATGGGTGCTTTAGAGAGTATGGGTGCTTTAGAGTACTATATAATCAAAATAACATAAACAGTGTTTACTTTTTTTCTTATTTCCGTATTAATGATGCACTGATGTGATTAATTGACATATGAAATAGTATTTAGCGAACCTTCGAAGCTTGATGCCCAAATCCGAAGCTTGATGAAACTTCCAAATCTCTGAAATGTAAAACTGAAACTGTCTAAAATATTAAGATCTAAAAATGGTATTTACTTATGAGGATATATCATTATTAATCACCAATATTACAGCTGTTTTCATAAATTTTAGAACAAATGAAGAAATCGCCCAAGACCGAATCGATAGGTTTCTTATTACGAAAGCTTTTCAGTTATTCCAGAATTATATAAAAACTCTTTGTGCTTAAACAATACGATTTAGCGTACACTTTGGTTCACATCAGGGATAATAAATGACCTGAATTTACCAAATGACCTAAATGACAAATAATTAGCCATTGGTCAGTTTGAGGCCTAAATGACCTTAGGTTATTTAACATATGTTAGTTAATATTTTAATGCATTTGAACCAATCAGAATTGGCCTCTAAACAAAATTAAATTTATTAAAATATAACCAATAATCGTAGCTATATCAAAATCAAAATTTTACAATTATTTATGTCTTAAATGAAGTTGTTCGGGATAATATATGCAATTTATTGTATCGAATAACTTTACTCAAGACATAAATATTAATAGACTTAGTAAAATTTTGACTTTAAAATATAGCTACGATTATCGATTAGAAAGTAAAAGTTCGATAGCTTTTTATATGAAAATAAAATTATTTTATATGCAAATGATCTTAATGACCCAAATGACCATGTCATTATTTGATGACTTGGGGCCATTAAAATTTTGATTGAATAACCAGGTTATTTTCTGTTGAAAATGGATGATGCTGAAAATCACATGATCACATGATGATCTTCTGCATAAACACTGTAACGCAAAATAATGTGACATAAGTAATAGTCATACTTTCAAGTTGTGTAATACTATAGTAATGCAGTTTGTAATTAAGTAATGATCGAAGCACTTGCGATAGTATACTTTGTCGATCGTTACGACATTTGATAGAGTTAACTCATACTTTGCGTCTTGCAGGATGTTAATTTGTAGTCTAATTGTATGTATAAATAGAGACATATAGAACGTTGAGTTTTAGTTAGCTTGTTAGAGAGAGTTTTAGTCAGTTCTTAGTTTTGTATTTGTGTTGGATTTTAGTGCGTTGGGAACGTACTAGGTTGATTAGTTAGATAAAGATAGTGGTTACTTAGTGTCCGGGACACAATAGAAGATATTGGTTTAGTACTTTGATACCTGGAAAGAGATAATAAACATACTTGCTTTCTTCTCTTTAATGTTGATGTCCCTGAGTTGAATTGGTTACGATATAAGGAAGTCTCTCCCACTGGACGTCACAACACCTAGCATTACTATCGCCGTTGGTGTTAGAGTTAGGGTTAGGGTATTGAAGGTTTTTTTTTTGATTTACATATATTACATTTAATTCCGCTAGGGTAATTAAAATATGATCATACCCAAACCCTAACATTAACAGTGAAATTTTTTAGTTGGTGTTGCTAGGGTTCTATAAGCACTTTAGGTTTGTTTATACGGAAGATCATAATTCATATAATCACGTGATTTTCAGCATCATCCGCGACATTTACTATCCCTGAATATGAATGCTTTTAAATTGAAACCATTTCATACAATCATCAATATCTAGAGATGGGCACTATGCAGCATGGTGCTTAATTGTTACATGAATAAAATTATGAAAATCACATCGGATGTTAATTTTTTACATAAATTATTATATGTGACGATTAAGTACCATGCTGCATAGTGCCCATCTCTATCAATATCCCCAATTTTTTAATTATTTTATCAGTATTACATATCTAAATCATGCTTCGATCATGTTATATTCATTACAATGAGCACATTTTTCACAAACATACGTTTTACATTTTCACTTAGTAATTTATTTACTCGGTTCTTAAATTTAATCAAAAAATTTTTATGCAAACAAAGTGCACTATATACTTATTTTCTAATTTATATAAATAAAAATGAAATTAGATAGTAAATATTCATAAACATGAATAGTTTATTTTAAATACTTTTTATACACCTTAATATTAACACGAATAACAAAAATTAAATACAAAGATCTACATAAATAATGATATAAACCTTACAGAAAATATTTGCTCTACCTTAAATTATCTGCGTTAAAAATAAAATTAAGTGTTTTAATTACTATTATAAAATTTATAAATTTATAAACTTTAATAAAAAGAGTAATTGTAATTATGACTTAGGATTTTATTTTCAACTCAAATGATTTAAAGTAGAAAATTACTTTTCTCTAAGGAGTGTAGTTAAATTAGAAAATGATCGAAGTTAATGAAAGCATGTAGACCTATCTTGTAACGATATCTATGAGCATTTACCTGAATTCTATGATGGATCTTAATCAATTGTACATCGTTTATTACTATAAGATCATCAATTTCTAAGGTGCAATGAGTAAATTCATGCAGGGTAGCTTAAGACTTGTTATCGTATATTATTAGATATAAAAGAAGAGCTGCAAAAAGAAGACTAAAAATCTTAGCTATATTAATATTTTGTACAATGTTTATCGCGATTAAAAACGATTTAAAAAGGGCTAAGTCTTGAAAAAAAATTTTTAAATACAACATGGATTCGGTAAAAATTTGGGGATCTAGATCTGGTATGTGCGTAATGCACTTATCTGTATAGAGCATATAAAAATGTTAGAATAAACCATTTCCTTTTTAGTTTAAAAAGGAAAAGTGCCGTTCACAAGGATATGCCAAAAAACAATCTATCAAATTAAAACGCATTTGCTCAAGGAAATTCGGAAATAACAAAAGATAAATATTAAACAAAATCTTATAGTCGTTAAATCAGGTGATGTTTATTTAAATATGTAAACAAATATGGAATAAGAATCTTCCAGTTGAAGCAAAGATTTTTAGCATAAGCAATAATCCATTGATGTTGGTAACTATTCTGAAAATCCATAATGATAATGTAAAACTGATACTTGAACTATTATTTTCTCTAGTCAATCAATGAAAATATTTAGCAAATAAGCGTAACTCTGTGAAAAAAAGAATATCCGTGCCTACACTTCTTGTTAATTGTAAAGATAACTCCTTTTATCTATGATATTCAATTAGATCCAAATAAAGTTTAGTTCTATCTCCATATACAAAATACGCCTTATAATTTTTAATAATATAACCATTTATATTTTTGCCTTTTGCTAACTTGTTCCCGAGGAAGTCACCGGTTTTGAATCAGTATGCTTATTAATATTTAGTTAAATATTTATCTAAATTAGTAACAATATTCATTTATCTTATTACAGAATTTTAATTACTATAAATATTGGCAATCATATAGGAAAGTAAGTAGTTATATATTCTACACACATGAATAGTAATGCAAGTAAAAAAAATCTTTAAGTAGTCTTAGAATATTTAAGATGTTTATTCATATAAGAAAAGATCGCCTTTCTTTTACTATTGCTTGTCTTATAATAAAGAATAGGTTCTTTCATTAAATGCATAGCAGCAATAAGTATAATAAGCATTTATATAATAGGTTAACAGTATTGAGTAGTTAGTTAGATAATAACAGACTCTGCAGTTGTTTTTGTTGTGTTCTGTAGTTGCAATAACATAATTAATACATTACTGATAACTGGGATTTTTATGTTTATAAATAAAATGTTTCTCATTTGTTATTCCCTTAAATATAAGTTGCAAAAGTGTGGTTGGAGACTAAGTTTGGCTTTTTACATTAGGTATATGTCATCTAATCAGAAATAATAATACAACAAAGTGAAACCCATGCTGTGAATTAGTAAAATCCACCATGTAGATTACATAAAGGTGAAAATAAAAAACCTAATGTGGTCTACGTAGCAGATTTTACTAATTTATAACATGGGTTTCACCCAGTTCTATAATAATTGACATCATTTGCAAAAAGCAAGTTCATGATTCATATGACCCAATTTATTTATCCAAGTCTTTAATTATTTAAACTTGTGAAAATAATAAGCATTTATATGAAAAGTTAAAAGTTTTGAATTTAATCAGGCATATACATATCATATATATTTATAACAGTGGGTTGAACAGAAATTGTGTTATTTCAAGTCATAAACCAGTTCTGACCAATTAGATATTTTGGTGCAGACAGGATATTTGTTAACAGTTTTAGTAACTTGCATCGTCTAGTTCTAAACTATAAATGCTTTGAAAAACATAGGCTCTTTTCAGTTTGGTATTTCAAAACCGATATATAGTATTTTTATTTAAAATCAATAGGTTATATAAACTGGCTCAAAATAGCAGGCCTACCAAATAATTGATTGTGGGGCAATTAATTGCAATATTTGAACTCAATTAATTGATTGATGGCGCAGCCATAATTGGTCAATTAATTGCAATTTTACGTAATTGGATTAAATATATATCCGCCATTAATCACAGCAAATAAATGCGATTTTGGATTTTTCGCTATTTAAAAATTGGTTACATCAGGCATCGCTTTACACAGAAA